GTGAGCCACCATGCCAGTCCTAAAATAAAATATTTCCTTTTTTTTTTTTTTTTTTTTTTTTTTTTGAGTTGGAGTCTCGTTCTGTTGAATAGGTCGGAGTGCAATGGCGCGATCTTGGCTCACTGCAACCTCTGCCTCCCAGGTTCAAGCTATTCTCCTGCATTAGCCTCCTGAGTAGCTGGCATTACAGGCATGCATCCCCACACTCAGCTAATTTTTGTATTTTTAGTAGAGACAAGGTTTCACCATCTCAGGCTGGTCTGGCACTCCTGACCTTGTGATCTGCCCGCCTCAGACTCCCAAAGTGCTGGAATTACAGACATGAGCCATCCCACCCAGCCTAAAAGTAAATATTTCTTAAACTTTACTTAAGTTTATCTCCCTCCCTCAGGCTCCTGAACTTTGAGCTACCCTCCGTCTGAGTCAACATATAACCCCATTTTATGTCCCTCCTAAGAACACGCTGATTTCAGGGTAAGACATTCTCTTTTCTATAATCTTTTTCACTCTCCATTTGTCATTGCCCTCCCACCTCCTTTCTAATCTTGTTTGCTCCTCTCTAGAAAAGAAAGCCCTTTTCTGCCTACATCTATGCAAGCCATAAAGATCTTATAGTTAGTTGGTACTTCCTCCTGTTGCAATACGTTTTTGGATTTTTTTTTTTTTTTAACATAAATCTAACATTTGTATTATACAAAGTGTAGAAGGTGCCTCAAAACAAGAACAACTTCATCATCATTAGTAAGACCCTCCCAGTTTCCTTTCATCTTAACCTTAACTGCATCTGCCTGTGGGGCCCCAGCTTTCCGGGGTTCTGCAGTTTCTCTGAGGATAAAGGCTCCTTCTTCCACGGCTGGGGTGAGCAGACTGAAACATCTGCAGGAAAAGTTCCCCAGAAATAACTAACCGGGCCTTTAATAATCTCCTGTTGCAGGCTTAATATTAGCCTTAGCTTGGAGTCACCAGGTTCAAGCTTTAATTTCCATGTGAGAGTTATTCACTTGGTTTTTGAAACTGTTTGAAAAATCCAGTGAAATTTCTCAAACACAGTGTTTACATAAGGGATGGAAATTTTAAGGTGCTGACACTTTTTTTTCTTTTTTTGAGATGGAGTCTCACCCTGTCACCCAGGCTGGAGTGCCATGGTATGATCTCAGCTCACCGCAACCTCGGCCTCCCGGATTCTAGTCATTCTCCTGCCTCAGCCTCCCAAGCAGCTGAAACTACAAAGTATGCGCCAGCATACCCTACTAACTTTTGTATTTTTAGTAGAGATGGAATTTCACTATGTTGGGAAGGCTGGTGTGGAACTCCTGACCTCAAGTTATCTACCCGCCTCAGCCTCCCAAAGTGCTGGGATTACAGGCGTTGAGTCACTGCACCTGGCTCAAGTGCTTGTATTTTATGCCTTCATAAGAAAAACAAATATACCTACTTCTTTCAGACAATATGTATATTATCTTATTATTTCTATTAAAAATAATGTAGTAAAAAATTAGTCTAATGGGAACACTTATAGAAGGTACCATGTTTCATCACATATAACTTAGCATTAAACTCAGAAATCAAGACAATAGGATATAGAACTGAGATACTCACTTTCACTAATTTACCCAGCAAAAGGAGGTACTGATGTTTTGATGATTCTATGTAACTCATCAGTTATCTACCACATTTTCCTGTGGAAATATATTGTCTACAGCCAAAGTGAAAGAGATTTTTCTTATTTTTTCCTTTGGTAGCTAGTATTCTTAAAGCTAGGGCTTAGAATTCTGTTTGAAATCACTCAGCCATAAAAAACAGACCTGAGAAAATTCCTAAACTCACTCTAGGAAAGAAAAAGATAAATGAGAATTATTAACAAATGGAATATATGGTTAGATATTAATTGTTTTAAACTCATCTCTTTTCTTTGTAAATATTTTCTTACCTTTCAAGCCCTACTAATAAAATGCAAATCGCAGTTAAAAAAAACTGATGTCAGCTGGGTGCAGTGGCTCATGCCTGTAATCCCAGCACTTTGGGAGGCCAAGGCAGGTGGATCACTTAAGACTAGAAGTTTGGGACCAACCTAATCCATCTCTACTAAAAATACAAAAGCTAGCCGGGCCTAGTGGTGCGCACCTATAGTCCTAGATACTTGGGAGGCTGAGGCATGAGAGTCAATTGAACCCAGGAGGTAGAGGTTGCAGTGAGCCAAGATTTAGCCATTGCATTCCAGCCTGTGCAACGAGTGAGACTGTCTTTAAAAAAAAAAAAAAAAAAAAGGTCAAAATAAGTGAACACATCTTTTGAAGGTACAGATTCAATCACCCACCCCATCCTGTTCACTTACATGCTCAATAACCACACCCCCAGAAGACACTGCGCTATGCACCAGTGAGTGCCCCAGGTGCATTTTACTTCGTAAACTTTTACGCCATCTCACTGGGGTCAGTTGTTTTTTTGGCTTTTGGCGTGTTTTTTTAAACAAAATTTTCACTATTTTTCTTTCATTATTTTTCTACCCCCGACCCCCCACAAGAGAATCCAGGGGGCCGAAAGTATTTGTTTTCAATACCAGCATCTGATTGGCTGGCAAGCAATGTGTCTCCAAGAATTGGAAACTTGGTTGGGTGAAGACAATCTTCATGCTGGGATTACAGGCATGAGCCACTGCGCCCAGCCTCAAGGGGTTAGCTTTTCAAAAAAAAAAAAAAGTGCACCAGGAGATGCCTTTCAGCTGCAAGGCTACCACCCGTTCCCTTGAGAGGCTACACTCCATACTTCAGGCGGTTCTATGGGAGAAAATGACCCAAGAGCTAATGTTCACTAGACATTCTAGCAAACACAGCCATGGTGGGTATCTTGGTTTATTCCCAGAAAGTACTATAACCCAGGATCAGAAAAAAACTGAAGGTTGGCTGAGGACAAATCATCCTACAAAGTTTCCAAAGGGTAATCTTGACCCAAAAACATTTTGTTAAGTTCTCTGGGAAAAGTAAAAGAAAAAGAGGAGCCAGGCGCGGTGGCTCGCCTGTAATTCCAGCACTTTGGAAGGCCCAGGCGAGTGGATAACGAGGTCAAGAGATCGAGACCATCCTGGCCAATATGGTGAAACCCCGTCTCTGCTTAAAACACAAAAAATTAGCTGGGCGTGGTGGTGCGCGCCTGTCGTCCCAGCTACTCGAAAGGCTGAGGCAGGAGAATCCCTTGAACCCAGGAGACGGAGGTTGCAGTAAATCAACATCGCCTGACTGCACTCCAGCCTGGCAACAGAGCCAGATTCCGTCTCAAAAAACAAAAACAACAAAAGAAAAACAGGCACAGATATTTTTTACAATACAGTGTCAGGGGATTATTCTTTGCTTTCTTCTTCTGGGAAACATTTATAAAGAGAAAACAAGTCTTTTCAATAATGTTATGCAATGCTTTTAAAAAAATGATTGAGGAACATGAGGTACATTTGAGGCCCTGCTTGGGACACATGTGAAAAATGCCAGGGAAAATCACTCCCCTGTGGGGTGTGAAAATAATTAAGGGGCAGGCAATTAGACTGAGGAGCCTCTAGTCCTCGGATTCCTACTTCTAAAATAAAAATCTAAACTCAAGTGCAGTTTTTGCTAAATTACTACATTCGGGAAACAAAACTCAGGCTTAAAAAACTATAAACTGCCAATTAAGCTCTGATTACAAAACCAGGAAATTTCCACCTTAATTGTACAAATTAAGAAACTACGTAACTATACCTGATCAATTATTGAATTTGGTTTTCATCATCATGCACCTTATAAATGTGTTTCCTTCAAGCCCCTCCCATGGACCACAAACTACAAACTATAGCTGGATGCTCTTGAATGACTGTTTGATTAAATTATTTGATATTTTTGCGGTGACGCCCATAATTTTTTTTTTTTTTTTTTAGACGAAGTCTTGCTCTGTTTCCCAGGCTGGAGTGCAGTGGCGCGATCTCAGCTCACTGCAACCTCCGCGTCCTGGGTGCAAGCGATTCTCTCCCCTCTGCCTCCCGAGTAGCTGGGACTAGAGACATTCGCCATCAAACCCAGCTAATTTTTGTATTTTTTGTAGAGACGGGGTTTCCCCATTTTGCCCAGGCTGGTCTTCAACTCCTGACCTCAAGTGATCGGCCCTTCTCAGTCTCCCAAAGTGTTGGGATTACTGGAGGCAGCCACAGCGCCTGGCACCATACATTTTTAATAACAGAAAAGAGAAACTGTGAACCCCACGGACCAAAGCTCTTCTCATTCATGAACCCACATCCCGAGTCAGGATTCTCCCCACACCCTCCGATGGTCCCTGCACAATCTGGGAGAAACGCGGCGCTGCCGCTGCAGAACTGCCCAGGGAGGGCTCCAGGCCAGGGCACAGTCACTGCCAGAGGAAGAGAAAGGAGGCCCAGGGCCCGGCTGTCAGCGCAGTCGCCATCTTACGGCTGAAGGGGACTGAGGCCAACCTGGGCAAGGAGAACTTGGGGCGCACATTGTGGAGCTGACTGCGAAGAAGCCTGAGTCCCGCCACAGTCACTTCCCACCGGTTCCACCCTACCCCTCTTCCTCTCTCGGGATGTAGGCCCCCGCACTCTCACCATTTCTAGGCTTCCAGGGGGTCCTGGCGTTTTAGCTGTGGATCTCCCAATACCTGCAGGTCACAGGGCCACAGAGACTGGGCCTCCAGGAGAATAGGGCACAGAGCCGTGAAGAGGAGACCTGAAGGTCGGGCTGCAGCCAGAGACAAAGGCCGCGCCAAAAGCGGAAAGCCGTTCTCTTCCCTCCAGCTGCATGCCTGATTGGACGGTTTCCAGCCTAGCGTCTCTGATTGGATAATGTTTTAGGTCCCACCCCTCAGGTCCTGAGTGACAGAAGATGTGATCAGATGCTGGGCTAAGAGAGACAGCCTAAGTTGCAGCCTTTAGAGGCAGGGCTTCCTCCCTGAGCTGAGCCAGGCCCATCCCAGAGCATCAGAAAATTCTCTCTCTTATACTCACTCTCTTTTTGAGTGTCATGCGCATCCGTGTGACGAGACCACCAAACAGGCTTTGTGTGAGCAATAAAGCTTTTAAATCACCTGGGTGCAGGCGGGCTGAGTCCGAAAAGAGAGTCAGCGAAGGGAGATAAGGGTGGGGCCGTTTTATAGAATTTGGGTAGGTAAAGGAAAACTACAGTCAAAGGGGGGTTGTTCTCTGGCGGGCAGGAGTGGGAGGTCATAAGGTGCTCAGTGGGGGAGATTTTTGAGCCAGGATGAGCCAGGAAAAGGAATTTCACAAGATAATGTCATCACTTAAGGCAAGGACCGGCCATTTTCACTTCTTTTGTGGTGGAATGTCATCAGTTAAGGCAGGGGCAGGGCATTTTCACTTATTTTGTGATTCTTCAGTTACTTCAGGCCATCTGAGAGTATAGGTGCAAGTCACAGGGGATGCGATGGCTTGGCTTGGGCTCAGAGGCCTGACAGTGAACAGAGTATTTTGCTGTCATATTAATAATACATAAAATATTTGCTCAAGAGAAAATCAATGTTTACTTTGGTAGTAGTGTATTATCAATACTAAAGCTAATTTTTTTTTTTTTTTTTGAGACGAAGTCTCGCTTTGTCACCCAGGCTGGAGTGCAGTGGTGCCGTCTTGCTCACCGCAACCTCCGCCTCCCGGGTGCAAGCGACTTTCCTGCCTTAGCCCCCTGAGTAGCTGGGATTACAGTTACTATTGTTGAAAAACAATTAACAACCGCAAAAACAAGTTGACCTTTTTGTGTTCCTTGAGCCCAGTCCTGAAGAGCCCTCGTGACTGGGCCTTATGCCAAACAACTCATTACTGAAGAGCTGTGGTCCCAGACTGCACCGCAGTTTTGTGAGGCCTCTCCTCATCTGTGCAGGGACAAGTGGCTGAGTCTGGAACCCAAGCTGTTACTTCCCTGTCTGGTGGTGAATCCTCCACAGTCTGATGAGTGTGGTGTCTGACTCTGGAGCTCAGGCTGTTGCTTCCTAGTCTGGTGGTGAATCTTCTAGTCTGGAGAGTGCGGTGTGCCATTCTGGAACCCAGGCTGTTGCTTCCTGGTCTGGTGGCGAATCTTCCAGTCTGGAGAGTGCGGTGTCTGACTCTGGAGCCCAGGGCTGGAAACTCGGGGGTATCCCGAATTCAGGAATGGAAACTCCTCCAGTTCTCCCCCTTGGCGTGCCCTATCTGGTGAGTTTCGGTGGAACTCATGACCCAAGTCATAATAGGAATTTCAAGCCTCATAAAGACCTCATGGTTGAAACAGAGGTGTTTGTTTCCAGCAAAGCCCAATAGCAACCTAACAACTGCTTCTCAAAAGGGGTATAAGCTTTGCCGGCCTCTGGCAGTTTCTGGGTCCAAAACCAGAAATGTACCTCTTTCCATCTTGTTTCTGCCTAAGGCCCCAATTAGCATGTTGACCTAGGACAGTTACTTGCAGTTCTACTGGCCCTTCCCGAATGAATCATAGATCCAGGACCAGTTGCACTGCTTGTTTATCTTGTTTAGAAGCCATGATCTCTTTCTCTCCCCAATCAAAGTCATAGCGTTTTCCAGTGACAGCATGCAGAGGTTGTAAAATGTCACCCAAGTGGGGAATATGATGTCTCCACAATCCAAACAAGCCAGTAAATTTCTGCACCTCATTTTTAGTGGTAGGGGTTACAAATTCTAGTATTTTAGCCTTAACCTTTGGTAAAATGAATTATTTCCCTGCATTCCATAGGATGCAACCAGCCCCTATCTTGACACATTATCTCATAAGCAGTAAGCAAACACCATCCACTCTGGGAGATCCCCCAGCATCTCCTTTGCTGACTGGAATTTCCTGTAGCACTTCACGCACAAAGGTCTAAATTGCACTAATTTGGATTCCCAATTCTCACAAAGGCCAGTTCCCCTTGATCATTCAATCGCCAAGGGGGAGAACTGGGGGAGTTTCCATCCGGGGATGTGGGAAGTCCCCGAGACTCCCGACGTGTCCTTGTGGCCAAAAAGTGGCACACTTTTGTTTTTGAATCCTGTTTGTGACACCAAAAATGTTCTGTGCGGGAAACGCACGAGGGGAGAAGGAAAGACACACACTCAATACCTTTAAGGGTAAACAAGCTTCATTCCACATAAATGGCAATGCAGATATAATAAACAAATTATGTAATAAGCAAATCAATATAATAAGCAGATTGATATAATAAATAGTGGATATAATAAGCAAATTGCAATAGGAAGAGGAGAAAGGAAAAAAGATATATATATTTACACTCACCAGACTATGGAGGATTCACCACCAGAGTGGGAAGCAACAACCTGGGCTCCAGCATTGGACACTGCACTCACCAGACAATGGAGGCGTCACCACCAGCCTGAGAAGCAACAGCTTGGGCTGCAGAGTCGGCCACTCATTCCTGCACAGATGAGGAGAGGTCGAGGTCTCATGAAGCTTCAGCGCAGTCTGGTACCCTAGCTCTTTTGTAATGAGTTGTTTGGCATGAGGCCTAGTCAGGAGGGCCCTTCATGACTGGATACAAGGAACACAAAAAGGTCAACTTGTTTTTGTGATTGCCTATTGTTTTTCAATAACTAATGTATAGGAATAGATTGAAATAGAGATTTCTCCAAAACAGCGCGGAATGAATGCTTAAAGGGGCTCACACAACCTGTTCTGGGACTTGGTGACTGTCATGCGTGTCCGTGTGAAGAGACCACCAAACAGGCTTTGTGTGAGCAACATGGCTGTTTATTTCACCTGGGTGCAGGCGGGCTGAGTCTGAAAAGAGAGTCAGCAAAGGGAGATAAGGGTGGGGACGTTTTATAGGATTTGGGTAGGTAAAGGAAAATTACAGTCAAACGGGGGTTGTTCTCTGGCTGGAGTGGGGGTCACAAGGTGCTCAGTGGGGGAGCTTTCTGAGCCAGGATGAGCCAGGAAAAATAATTTCACAAGATAATGTCATAGCTTAAGGCAAGGACCGGCCATTTTCACTTCTATTGTGGTGGAATGTCATCAGTTAAGGCGGGGCAGGGCATTTTCACTTATTTTGTGATTCTTCAGTTACTTCAGGCCATCTGGGCGTATATATGTGCAAGTCACAGGGTATGCGATGGCTTGGCTTGGGCTCAGAGGCCTGACAGTGACCATTGTTTGTGTCCACATCCAATTAAGTTCAAATTTATTATTTAACTTTTCCTCCACAAATTTCCCTGCCTTGATGAATCAGCTCTGTCTAGGCAAAGGGCAAGGTGAACAGCTTGGGTCTTACACAACCTCTGCCTCCTGGGTTCAAGCGATTCTTCTGCTTTGGCCTCCAGAGTAGCTGGGACTACAAAGGTGCACCACCATACCCTACTAATTTTTTGTATTTTTAATAGAGATGGAGTTTCATCATGTTGGCCAGACTGGTCTTGAACTCCTGACCTCAAGTGATCCGCCCACCTTGGCCTCCCAAAGTGCTGGGATTACAGGCGTGAGCCACTGAGGTTGTCTCTAAATGATTTCTTTTTTTCTTTTTTTTTTTTTTTTTGAGACAGAGTCTCGTTCAGTCGCTCAGTCGCCCAGGCTGGAGTGCAGTGGCGTGATCTCTGCTCACTCTAAGCTCCGCCTCCTGGGTTCATGCCATTCTCCTGCCTCAGTCTCCCGAGTAGCTGGGAGTGGGAAGCAACAGCCTGGGCTCCAGCGGAACTCCTGAGTTGACTCACAGGCTCAAAAGGCAGCATCCACCCCTTACCAGGCGTCAATCACAGCGCCCTTGCTCCCTTAAGCACCTGAACTTGTACCTACTTATTGTAAAGAAGAAAAAAACTTTCTCCAAGTGGATAGGGTGCAGGTAATAAAAGAAGGATGAATCCGGTTACCGGATGGGAGAATAGCTGTGCCACAGCTACTTGGAGCAGTGGTTGTACTGGCTGTGCATGAAACTACCCATCTAGGTCAGGAGTCACTTGAAAAGTTGTTAGGCCGGTATTTTTACATCTTCCATTTATCAGCTCTTGCCAAAACAGTAGCACAGCTATGTGTTATCTGCCGACAGCACAATGCAAGACAGGGTCCAGCTGTTCTGCCAGGTATAAAGACATATGGAGCAGCCCCCTTTGAAGATCTCCAGGTGAACTTCACAGAAATGCCAAAGTGTGGAGGTAATAAGTATTTACTAGTTCTTGTGTGTACCTACTCTGGGTGGGTAGAGGCTTATCCAACATGAAAAGTTGGTGAGGCAACCTGTGTGCTTCTTCGAGATCTCATCCCTAGGTTTGGACTGCCCTTACAGATTGGCTTGGACAACGGGCCAGCGTGTGTGGCTGACTTGGTACAGTAAACATCAAAGGTATCGGGGATCACATGGAAACTACATGCCGCCTACCAACTGCAGAGTTCCAGAAAGGTGGAGTGGATGAATCAGACAATCAAAAACAGTTTAGGGAAAGTTGTCAGGAAACAGGATTAAAGTGGTACCTTTAACCCTGGTACTGTTCAAGATTAGATGCAACCCTTCAAAGAGAACAGGATAGGGCCGGGCGCGGTGGCTCAAGCCTGTAATCCCAGCACTTTGGGAGGCCGAGATGGGCGGATCACGAGGTCAGGAGATCGAGACCATCCTGGCTAACACAGAGAAACCCCGTCTCTACTAAAAATACAAAAAACTAGCCGGGCGAGGTGGCGGGTGCCTGTAGTCCCAGCTACTCGGGAGGCTGAGGCAGGAGAATGGTGTAAACCCGGGAGGCAGAGCTTGTAGTGAGCTGAGATCTGGCCACTGCACTCCAGCCCGGGCTACAGAGCAAGACTCCGTCTCAAAACAAAAAACAAAAAACAAACAAAAAAAAAAACAAAGAGAACAGGATATTCTTCCTATGAAATATTATATCATAGGCCCCTTCCTATATTATTGGAACTCCCAGGCCACAAGGTATCCAGAGCCATGACCACAACTATATTTACCTGTAAAATGTGATACTGGAGCAGAGTATTTTCATTCTTTCCTTTATCCAAGAGCTAGCAAATCAGAACAAGTGATCCAGGTTCTGGAGTTCCACCTGGGTAGTTCTATTTTCTGTTTAGAATCAGCCTGAGTCTCTCAAGCCTGGCTTATCATTGGGCCATCAATCCAGGGTCACTGGGAATTCTCTCACAATCACCCAGGTGTCTTTGAGGCATTTGAGAATGTCCGTAGCAGAATTGTGTCAGACTCAGAAGAATGATTAATTCTGTTTCTCTCTTAGTGTAAGAGAAATTTAGTCATCCCTGTGTTTGTTCCTCTCTTCATACAAGAAATGTCTTTGGTTGGTACCCAGATGAGAGTTTCTCCAGTTTCCAGGTATTTGGATGATAAACAGGAAGGAGAAATCTGGAGGCCCAAATAGATAATGGAGTTGCTTACATTTCATATCACCATTAAAAAAAATACATGAAGCAGTCATGGTTCCTACAACCCAGAAACTTTTTGTCTAGACAAGCAATTGAATAAATAATTGAATTATGCATCATATCGTTGGTAAAATAAATGGATGTGTCCAAAATCTTGGGCTTTATTTAGGCTGCTTTCTTTATATTGTTGTGACTTCTGATGTCTATACCTGAAGGGATATTCATGAACAGAAGAATTGTTATTATAATTAATTTTTTTTCTTTTCTTTACTTTTTTTTTTTTTTTTTTTTTTTTGAGACGGAATCTCACTCTGTCCCCCAGGCTGGAGTGCAATGGCGCTATCTCGGCTAACTGGAACCCCCACCTTCCGGGTTCATGGAATTCTCCTGCCTCAGCCTCCCAAGTAGGTGGAACTGCGGGTGCCTGCCACCAGGCCCAACTAATTTTTGTATTTTTAGTAGAGACTTAGTTTCACCGTGTTAGCCAGGATGGTCTCAATCTCCTTACCTCATTATCTGCCCGCATCGGTCTGCCAAAGTGGCGGGATTACAGGCGTGAGACACCACGCCCGGCCACATATTTATTTTCTAACATAATTACCCTAGAAAGTCTGGGTGTGGTGGCTCATGCCTGTAATCCTAGCACTTTGGGAGGCCAAGGTGGGCAGATCACAAGGTCAGGAGTTCATGACCAGCCTGGTCAGTATGGTGAAACCCCATCTCTACTAAAAATACATAAATTAGCAGGGCATGGTGGTGCATGTCTGTAATTTCAGCTACTTGGGAGGTTGAGGCAGAAGAACCGCTTGAACCCGGGAGGCGGAGGTTGCAGTGAGCCGAGATCATGCCACTGCACTCCAGCCTGGGTGACAGAGTTAATGATTCACTTGGTGGAATAGCTCTCTGAAAGATTTTTTTTCACTATAGAGTTAATTATTTTTCTCTTCATTAAGTATCTTTATGCAGTTTATGTGCATAAAACATCACATTTAATCTGGCAGCTGTCCTTTTTTTCTTTTTACTACATTTTTTTATTTGAAATATGAAGGCCTTTATCTTTGTTTACAGGCCAGAAAAACTGGGAAAAACACAGGCTCTTCCACTTACTAGTTGTTTGACAAAATATCATTCTTGGGCCAAAAACATTGACATTATTGATGAACTAGTTAGAAATTCAAAAAATCAGACTTTAATCCAGATCTTATGGAAAAAAAGCCTGCATAAGAAGGTCTTCAGCTTATTATGTATATTAAAATTTGAGAGGTGCCTTCTAACTCAACCTGTCTTTTTCGTCTGAAAAATATTCACAACTCATTCTGTATGATGTAAATATAGCACTCAAAACTGTACATGTTTTTTTTTTTTTTTTTTTTGAGATGGAGTCTCGCTCTGTTGTACGGGCTGGAGTGCAGTGGCCAGATCTCGGCTCACCGCAAGCTCCGCCTCCCGAGTTCACGCCATTCTCCTGCCTCAGCCTCCCGAGTAGCTGGGACTACAGGTGCCCGCCACCTCGCCCGGCTAGTTTTTTGTATTTTTTAGTAGAGACGGGGTTTCACCGTGTTAGCCAGGTTGGTCTCGCTCTCCTGACCTCGTGATCCACCCGTCTTGGCCTCCCAAGGTGCTGGGATTACAGGCTTGAGCCACCGCACCCGGCCAAAACTGTACATGTTTTTGTTCATGCCCTTAATTTTATACTTTATTATCTAGGAAAATATATATGAACTGATGTTGTGGATCTTATGCTGCTCTTTTTTCTCAGAGTTAGAGAATACAGTAGAGAATATTTCTGTGTTGAAAATTATTTTATTGGATAATTTTAGTCAGTCCTGTAAGTCAGAACCAGTTCTCTTTACTCTCACATTTCACCTTAAGTCAAATTAAAAATTCTGCTCATGGCCATTTAGTAAAAGTGTGTGTGTGTGTGTGTGTGTGTGTGTGTGTTTCAGGGACCATTGCAATTTATGGATGTGGCCATAGAATTCCCTCTGGAGGAGTGGCATTGCCTGGACACTGCACAGAAGAATTTATATAGGGATGTGATATTAGAGAACCACAGAAACCTGGTCTTCCTTGGTGAGGATAACTTGAATACATAATTCATAATATACCCTAAAGATTTTATTTCTCTTTTTTTGTAGAATGTTTTTTAGTAATTTATTCTTTTCATAAAAGAGTTTCAGATTCCTTTTTCCAGAAAATCTTCAGAATTTGTTCATTTAGAATAGAATTTCTTCAAGATGTTTCATCTTAATCCGAACTTTCCACATTCCTGAGTAGAGCTGTATTCGTCACTCTAAATTAGTGGTAATTCCAGAAATTTAGTGGTATAAAATATTGTTGCCCCCATCTGAAAATCTAATTGCCACTACCAATTTTTGATTCCGTAGTACCAGATAGTAAAATTAAGAAACCTGCATATTGAAAGTATTTTTTCTTTCTTTCTTTTCTTTCTTTCTTTCTTTCTCTTTCTTTCGTTCTTTTTTTCTCTTTTCTTTCTCCTTCTCTTTCTTCTTTCTTTCCTCTTTCTTTCTTCCTTCCTTCCTTTCTTCCTCTCTTCTCCTCTCTCCTCTCCTCTCCTCTCCTTTCCTTCTTTCCTTTCCTTTCCTTTCCTTTCCTTTCCACAGAGTTTCATTCTTGTTGTTCAGGCTGGAGTGCAATGGCATGATCTCCGCTCACCACAACCTCCACTTCCTGGGTTCAAGCAATTCTCTTGTGTCAACCTCCTGAGTCTGGGATTACAAGCATGTGCCACCATGCCCGGCTAATTTTTTGTATTTTTAGTAGAGATGGGGTTTCTCTATGATGGTCAGGCTGGTCTTGAACTTCTCACCTCAGGTTATCTGCCCACCTCAGCCTCCCAAAGTGCTAGGATTACAGGTGTGAGCCACTGCACCCAGCTGAAAGTATTTTCTAAATATTTAGAAATTTCTGTTATAAATTAGTATTTTGGTATTAATTTACAAGAATATTTTATTACATCTGCTCTGCTGAGCACATCACTAGCTTGCAAGACTCATGTTATTTATTTTTAATAAAACAGGTATTGTTGTCCCTAAGACAGACCTGATCACCTGTCTGGAGCAAGGAAAAAAAACCTTTGACTATAAAGAGACATGAGATGATTGCCAAACCCCCAGGTAGGTGTGAGTGAAATTGAATACCACAGACTACACAGATAACAGGTTTCAAGGTCAATGAGAAAACAAGTTTTTTTTTTTTTTTTTTTTTGAGAGGGAGTCTCGCGCTGTCGCCCAGACTGGAGTGCAGTGGCCGGATCTCAGCTCACTGCAAGCTCCGCCTCCCGGGTTTGCGCCATTCTCCCGCCTCAGCCTCCCGAGTAGCTGGGACTACAGGCGCCGCCACCTCGCCCGGCTAGTTTTTTGTATTTTTTAGTAGAGACGGGGTTTCACTGTGTTAGCCAGGATGGTCTCGATCTCCTGACCTCGTGATCCGCCAGTCTCGGCCTCCCAAAGTGCTGGGATTACAGGCTTGAGCCACCGCGCCCGGCCGAGAAAACAAGTTTTTAAAATGTGATTCAGAAAGCTGTGTTCCAAAGAAAATAGTTCCTGGGCAGCTGTGTTGTTTGTTTATTCATTTATTTAATTTTGCTCCCACAAATGGGCATCTTCTGTCTTGTCATTTTAAATTCTCTAAGGATTCTACTTTTCTTTTGGTGAGCTTCCTTCAAGTTCACAGTGAGAGCCAAAGACATCTTTATGGCATATAAGAGATTGCAGAGGCTGGGCACATTGGCTCATGTCTGTAATCTCAGAATTTTGGGACGCCAAGGCAGGTGGACCATTGGAGGTCAGAAATTCAAGATTAGCCTGACCAACATGGGGAAACCTCGTCTTTACTAAAAATACAGAAATTAGCCAGGTGGGTTGTTGGGCGCCTGTAATCACAGCTACTTGGGAGGCTGAGGCCAAGAATCACTTGAGCCCAAAGAATCACTTGAGCCCAGGAGATGGAGCTTGCCATGAGCTGAGATTGTGCCATTGCACCCCAGCCTGGGCAACAGAGTGAAACTCTGTCACAAAACAAAACAAAACAAACAAAAAAAGAGACTGCACAGTCTGGCTGCTTTTCCATTGTTTTGCAGATATGCAAATATCTATCTGCATGATTTAGAGAAACTAAAACTGTTTTTCATGTTCTCTTTTTGCATCAAGTCTGATATATGTGAGAGTAATAGTTTCTGTTGCATTTTTTGTTCATTTTTCTGCACAGTCTATCTGTTTTTATTACTATAAAGTCTTGAAATATAGTTTGAAATTATAAGTATGATATTTTTCTGCTTTGTTCTTTTTCCTCAAGGTTGCTTTGGCTATTCAAAGTTTATTTTAGTTTCATGTAAATTTTAGAATTACATTTTCCAGTACTGTGAAAAAAATGCCACTGCAATTTTGATAGGAAGTTTATTGAATCTATAGATCACTTTGGATAATATGGCACTTTATTAATATTTATTCTTTCAATCCATAGACATAAAATATTTTAAAATTTATTTGGATCTTCTCTAAATTTTTCATTTTTTATTGTAAAGATTTTTACCTCCTTGGTCAATTTTTTTCTCAGAAATTTATTACTTAATGCTATAGTAAATAAATTTTTTTTTCCTCTATTTTGTCAGATAGTCTGTTTTAAGTGTACGAAACCATAGCCAGGCACGGTGGCAAACGCCTGTAATTCCAGCACTTAGGGAGACTGAGGCGGGTGTATCAACTGAGGTGGGGAGTTCAAGACCAACCTAACTAACATATAGAAACCCTGTCTCTACTGAAAATACAAAAATTAGCTGGGTGTGGTGGTGCATGCCTATAATCCCAGCTACTCGGGAGGCTGAGGCAGGAGAATCACTTGAACCTGGGAGGTGGAGGTTGCAGTTAGCCAAGATCGCACCATTGCACTCCAGGCTGGTCAACAAGAGCAAGACTCCTTCTCCAAAAAAAAAAAAAGTGTATGAAACCATATATATACTTGTACGTTAATTTTGTATTTTGCTAATTTACTGAGTGTATTTATTAGTTTAGACAGATTTTTATGTACTGTTTATGGTTTTTTATATACACAATTGTATGATCTACAAACAGCAACTTTTTACTTTTTTTTTATTTCAATAGATTTATTTTTATTTTTTATTTTTTTTGAGACGGAGTCTCGCTCTGTTGCCCAGGCTGGAGTGCAGTGGCTGGATCTCAGCTCACTGCAAGCTCCGCCTCCCAGGTTTAGGCCATTCTTCTGCCTCAGCCTCCCGAGTAGCTGGGACTACAGGCACCCGCCACCTCGCCTGGCTAGTTTTTTGTATTTTTTAGTAGAGACGGGGTTTCACCTGTTAGCCAGGATGGTCTCGATCTCCTGACCTCGTGATCCTCCCATCTCGGCCTCCCAAAGTGCTGGGATTATAGACTTGAGCCACCGCGCCTGGACGATTTTTTTTTATTTCTATGACTAATTCTTCTGCCACATACTTCCAGTGCTACATTAAAATAGAAGCATTGGCCAGACTCCGTGGCGCACACCTGTAATCCCAGCACTTTGGGAGGCCAAAGTGTGTGGATCACCTGAGGTCAGGAGTTTGAGACCAGTCTGACCAATATGATGAAACCCCATCTCTACTAAAAATACAAAAATTAGCCGAGTGTGGTGATATGAGTCTGTAATCCCAGCAACTTGGGAGGCTGAGACAGGAGAATCACTTGAACACAGGAGGCAGAGGTTACAGTGAACCAAGATCACAGCAATGCACTTCAGCCTGGGCAACAAGAACAAAACTGCATCTCACAAAAAAAAGAAAAAAAAAAAAGAAGCATTGACAATGGGCACAATATAGTTTTGTATTGGTGTCTGAATTCAATGGAGCAAGTACCTCTTCAAGTTTTCACAAACTGATTTTAGAAGGTAAAGATCTTCTTTTGTTGGCCCTTAGGGTGATGAGATCTTCTCTGAGTTTGTAGTGAAGAGGGGTTGTAGCTTGGTCACAAGGCTGCTGGGTCTGCACTAGGGTCCACCTTTAGTTGGCTTGGTATAGGGGCTTGGGTAGTTGTAATTTCCATTTTATTTTTAGACTGAATATCCTTCAGGACTTTGCTCCACAGGGCAGACACTAGGGCATGTTTTTGCAGTCAGGACTGCTTATGGTAAGCCTTATATCAGGATGCGGATGAGTATGGCTTTCAGTGAGTACCAGAGAGCATTTCCTCAAGTCACCCTGTGAGGGTTTCTATATAGGCAGAACGGACCACATACTTGGCTCAGTTAAATGAAACTGAGTCATTGAACTGCTTCAGGGACCACAGAAAAGGCCAAGGTCTGCAGGTCTGCCTACATGGCTGTAAATGGGTGCCTTCCTCCAGGTCTGGGAATGGTAGGACCTCCGCCAGACTGTGGCTGGGAAAAGTTTGGGATGGTTACAGAGTAAGTTCAGGATTCTCAGTGGGACCAACTTGGGTGAACCCTATCCTGGTCTATAGCCAAGAAAAGAAGTCCTGTAGTTTCCCACCTGAATGAGGGCCTGCCTTCTAAATAAAACTCTTCTCAATCTTAAGCTTTGACAGTGTTTCACAACTCCCTCCCTGGATCTCAAATCTGTCTTAGAGGCACTTATTTTGGAGATGGCGTCTTGCTACATAAACCCAGGCTGGCCTCGAAATCCTGTCCTGAAGCAGTTTCATAACCTTAATGTACCATGTAGCTGTCATTACAGGTGTGAGCCACACTGCCTGATTCTCTCATAAAGGCATTTTTGTCAGGTATGGCTGATTTTTTTTTTTTTTTTTTTTTTTTTTCTTTTTCTTTTTCTTTTTTTTTTGAGATGGAGTTTTGCTCCTTTTGCCCAGGCTGTAGTGCAATGGTGCAGTCTCGGCTCACTGCAACCTCCGTCTCCCTGGTTCAAGCGATTCTCCTGCCTCAGCCTCCCAAGTAGCTGGGATTACAGGCGCCTGCCACCACGCCTGGCTAATTTTTTGTTATTTTTAGTAGAGACGGGGTTTCACCATGTTGGCCAGGATGGTCTCAATCTCTTGACCTCATGATCTGCATGCCTCAGCCTACCAAAGTGCTGGGATTACAGG